AGCAAGGGGCTTTCAGTGGTGGAGGGTGGTAGGGTGAGTTGGTGCATCGGCTTTGTATTTAAATATTTAGATTAAGTTCACGATTATTCGTGTTCCTTTTTGGTTAATCATTCTGAATCTTCTGGTGTAACTTGTTATCTTAGTGTCTTGGACCCCCCCTTTTTTTTTTTAAATTATTTTATTAGTTCAAATGAGAAACAAGCCTCTTCCTCTCCCTCCCTCCCTCCCACCCCCCATCAGCCCCCCACAGCATTCACCCTCTGCTCCCCAGGGAGGGTAAGGCCCTCTCTGGGGGATCCCAACTTGGACCTGTTTTTAAGATCAAATTCACCAATCTTTCTCCATCCTGTCTCCTGGAAGTCACCTCCCTCTGTTATGTCCTGCTTCTAGGCAGGTGCTAGGTTCCAGGGAATGAACACTCTAATTGATTCAGTTCCTGTTCCTCCTTCAGAAAAATGGGTACGTGACTGTCAGTGAAATCAAAGCCAGTCTTAAGTGGGAGACGGAGCGAGCTCGGCAAGTGTTGGTATGTGACAGGAGATGGCCCCAGGGTCAGAGGAGTCAGCCTTGGTTTGTTCCCTCTTACCTTGAAGCCTGCTACTTTAGTTAGCACTAGCAGGAAGTCCAGCATCTCTGCCGGTAGTACTGAGAAGGCAGAACTTCCTAAAGCTGGCCTTTTGCCTTCATGTGCACACTTGTACCAAGGGACCAGTGATACCTACTAGCTTTCCTAGACATGACACCTGGAACTTTGGTCAGTCATGACAGTTACAGTTTGTACTGGAAATAACAGGGAAAGGAATTGGTAACCACTGAAGATAATTACAAAATATATTATATGGTAGATAATTTTATATATACAGATTTGTACTAGTGAAACACCTAGGCTAGAAGAGAGTAGAATGAAGGAATACTCTTAGAACCTTTTCCTTAGCACCAGTAATTCTTTGCACTTTTGTCCGTAAAATCGGAGAACATAAAACATATGTGTAGGAGCTGGAGAGATGGCTTAGAGATTAAGAGCACTGGCTGCCCTTCCAGAGGTCCTAAATTCAATTCCCAGTAACCACATGGTGGCTCACAACCATCTTAAGATCTGGTGCCCTCTTCTGGCCTGTAGACATACATGCAGACAGAACATTGTATATATAATAAATCTTAAAAAAAAAAAAACAAAAAAAAAAAACGTGTGTCTGACAACCCTTGACAGACAGCTTTCTTAGAAACCCAGTCGATTGTAGTTTAAGGATGGTCTTTCCCATTTGCTCCCTGCAAATTATCTCCAAGCCATCCAGATCACTTTCCTATCTCTACTTGGCTCTGGGACCTGGAGAGCCAGAAGCATTGACTCTGATACCATGTAAGATGGACTGCTGGAGTCCTGTACTCTTCACTATCTCCCATTATACTGCAGTTTTACTTTTCTGCAGCTGGACAAGTTAAAATACTTGATGCCATTTTTTACACCTTGGCCAAAGCCAAACAGTCCCATTTGGATGTGTGAACAAATGAAGGTACATGTAGGTTGCCTGAAAAGTTGAGAAACTAAAGCAAGTGCGGGGGCTGCTTAGCTCCCCAAACGCACCTATAATCCCTTTCTCAAGCCAGTCCTCTTCTTCCCTCCAGGAACACCTGCTAAAGGAAGGACTAGCCTGGCTGGACCTCCAGGCTCCAGGGGAAGCCCACTACTGGCTGCCAGCTCTCTTCACAGATCTCTACTCCCAGGAGATCTCAGCAGAGGAGGCCAGAGAGGCCTTCCCTTGATAAAGTGTGGAGGGGTACATAGCAGTAGGCCAAAGGGGACCTGCCTGTGAACAAACCTGGACAATTTTGTTTATAAAAAACAAGTTACTTCCAAGTTTTCCCCCCAGTATTTATTTTTAAAAGTGCCTTCACATTTCATGTTTTAGAGGAAGCCGCATTTATGCAGTAAGGATAACCTGAGTAACAGATAGAGGCAAGCGTATAAAATGACTTGCATAGAACACCAACAAATTCACAGCGCTGAGCTAAGGTGCAGTGTCTCGTGGCTAGCCTTAATATAGCATTGAGACAAATTACCACTCCACTAATGCACATCTCTTCCTCATTCCTTTCCATCCCAGCAGAACTAGGCTCTCACAATACGTCACCATGACTAACTTATCTTCAGTGTCTTCTGTAGAGGACCTAGTTTCAGACTCAGCTGTGTGAAGGAAACCGAAGTCTGTTGTTGGGTAGAGGAAAGCCAGTAGTGCCCTACATAGGGAACATTTAATACTGCATTTTGTTCAAATTCCTCACTAGCTGCTGACCAGGTCCTGTAGACTCAAGGTGGGGAATTACTGAGTTCCTACATTTATGCTCCCATATGCACTGCCTATTCACCCCTTAAGCACTCTTCAGTTAAGCAAGTATCTGATTCGTGGAGGAGTTGAATGCCAGGTCATCAGCACATGCATTGCCAGAGCTAAAGCCTGGCTACTAGGCCCAGGGCTCACTTTCCCCTATCACTGCTCTCATGGCACAGGATAGCAGTACACATGACCAAGAAGAAAAGCCTTGCCTCAGCAAGATTCTCCCACAGCAAGCGTGAATGAGGTGGCAATGGGGAGGAGGCTCGTTTATAGCCCAGTATTCATAAAGTATCAGTACCTGAACACTGAAATAGTGGCTTCTCAGACATCTTTCAGCAGACATAGCCTGGGCCCTCTCTACTTCCATCTGTCCTCATAGGACATGCTCATTCACTCTTGAAAGCTACCTTTGAATCCTTTGTTCCTTTTTTTTTTCTTAAAGACTTTATTATGTATTGTGGGAAATTACCAATACGGAGTCATACAACATTCTGCTTCCATGTTTACCTGCACACCAGAAGAGGGCACCAGATCTCATTACAGATGGCTGTGAGCCACCATGTGGTTGCTGGGAATTGAACTCAGGACCTCTGGAAGAGCAGTCAGTACTCTCTTAACCTTTGAACCATCTCGCCAGCCCTAGTTGTTCCTTTCATTGACTGCTTAGGCACAGCATACAAAGAGCCCCTCCATTTTCAAATATAAAACTTGCCACAAATAGTCTTCTTTCCACAAACATCCCAGTTCTCAGCATCTAGAAACCAAGGACTTTGGTCCTATATATATTTCTTGGCCCAGGTGTGGTATAGTGGACACCAGTTCCATGTTTTTATACAAACCCTCCCATACCCACAGGCGCTTCCTCCTTCTGCCAAAACAAACTTTATTGCACCAAAAAAAGGAAAAAAAAAGAAAACTTCATTTATGTACAGTCAGATATAAAGACATCTCTTTGACTCCTGTGCATATATTTCCTCAACTTAAGATTAGGGCATAAAAGTCAGGCTGCTATGCCAGACACACTCTGCCCCATGGCAGGGCCAAGGAGAAGATTGTCACTTGAAAGTGGGAACACTTAAATGGATGACAGACAACACTGGACCCACAGACCAAAGGCATTCTTCTCGGCCCTGGACTAGATCTGGGAATGGAAGAGGGGAATTGGAAGCAGGGTCCTTTTCCAAGTCTCCACATCTGACCCAGCCTCCAGGTAGCCTAAACGAACTTCTGTTCCCCAAGTGAGCTGTCTTTGTCCAGTTCTCTGCTTTCTGCCCTCCCAAGAGGTCCCTCTCTGTGCCCTATCTTCTCCCCGTCTCTCCAAGGAGTCCCATGATCCACAAGGCAGAGACCTTTATAGCAGCGGGCAGGGCAGGTAGTTCTCTCCATTCCTCAGGGCTGGACACTGACCAGAAGGCCTGCATCACACGGATCACCACCCACCTACTAGGAGTCAGAACAGCAAACCTGAAAAGTGTGAACTGTATCAAACTGGGATGGATTCCTCTGACCTCGAGCCACTGAAAACATATTTTTCTGATTCAACCAGCTGAAGGATCACTGTAGTTAAATTCAAAAAACAGAGCCACTGACAAAAAGGGGAAAGGTAAAAGGAGGAGTTTCCAGAGTCCCAGCCACAATCCCCTCTCGCCAAAGGCTCTCCATGTTCACAAAGCCCCAGGGGATGTAGGTGGGGCTGAAGGAGGACAGAACTACAGACTGGGATGAAAATACAAAAGAACAGCTAAACAAAATAGGGACTACCATCAGTCTCCCCGTGCTCTACCCCAAGAAAAACACCCTCATTGACTAGTATTCAGGAAAATCTGTAAGAGACTATTTTATGTAGTGGCTCAAGTCCCATACACGCTGCAGCTGCCTGTGCTGGGAACCTTTCAAATCAGTGATTGTGGGAACACAGTAAGCAGCTTTCCTCTGATGCCTGTGCAGGCTTCACAGAGACCTGGGCTCAGTCCCAGTGGGACTTACTTTCTACCTGTAACCTAGAATGCTGAGGAAATGGAGCAAGGGAGAAAGGTGCTCAGGTGCTAGGTAAAGCTTACTGACAGCAGCCCAGACTCCACCACTGTTCCTTCTCTTTGGTCTGCCTAGAACAGTGACTATATAAATTAGGAAAAACAAAGTTATGCTGGCCCATGGGAAATAATAGGGGAAGGGAAGAAAAGGGTGTTGGGAAGCCCTGCTTCAAGACTGAAGACAAACAGATAACCAACCAGACTGCTTAAGTGTCACAGACAGCACCCCCACCCAAACTCCCAGTTATCCCTATAAACCACTTGGGCATGCTCCCTCTTGGATTCTCATTTTCTGTCTTCTCCTATCCCTAATTAGCTGGCCCTGCAGAGAGGTGTGTTGGTTGTTTAGCTTTGCCAGAGGCCAGCACTCCAGGTACTCTCACAAAAGTACCCTGGCCCTGATCCAGGATTGACTATAGCCCCAGGTGCTCCAGCACCAAGGAGGTCAGATTGGAAACAGCCCCACTCCCACACCCTGGGATTGAGTTTGCTTGCTTCTTGTCATCTTGCGGGATGCCGGGATGCCGACACTTTTGAAGGGAGATGCACAGTGCCTCTCCGTCCCTGGGGTGAGGGGAGGGGCTCTGCTGGGACTCTCAACAGAGTTGGGGAAGGGGCAAGGGAGCAGGGTCTAGACCCTCAGGCTCCCATGCAGGTCTGTTTCTGTCCCAGATGAGCTGCTATCAGAGTCCATTTCAGCATTCTCATTATGGAGCCTCTCCAGCACTTTCTGCCGAATCAGTCCCAGACGCATCAAGAGGGACTGGTAGTCAAAGTGGCCCCGCTTCTCTCCAAAAGGGTCCTGTGGGGAAAAGGAGACAAGGGGAATGGAATATTCACATCTATGGCTCAGGCTAGAGTGCAGCTTTGAAATGCAAGCTCACCTACTGGGCCACAGGATGGCACAGTGCCCCACAGGTGGTCCAAGTGAAAGTGTATTACTGCCCCAAATAAATTCGGATCACACTAAAACATGTTAGCACTCTAAAAGCAAGCCACTACGCAGAAGAGGATATGGGGGAACTCCATGAAGTATCAAGGGAGACTATAGTGGGTCTGTGTTTTCTTTTTAATTTTTTTGAGATTTTATTTATTTTTAATTTATGTGTACCAGTACATTGCCTCAATGTATGTCTGTGCAGCACATATGTGCAGGTGCCCATGGAGGCCAGAAGATGGCTTTGGATCCTCTGGAACTAGAGTTACAGACAGTTGTGAGCTGCTATGTGGGTACTGGGGATCAAACCCTGGTCCCTGGGATAGGCAGTCAGTACTTTTAACTACTGAATCATCTCTCCAGCCCTGAGAGCCTGTGTTTTCATTTAACCTCTGAAAACTCAAGAAAATAATCTCCATCTTCTGTCCTCATAGAAGACACTTTCTTTTCTAAGGTCACAAGTAGCTCTAAACTTGGTACTGACTTCCTGATTAGCCCCTGCCCTCTTTCCCCAGAGACCTCCATTCCTATCCAAGTTTCTGGGGAATGCTCCAGGGTCACCTAGCCTTGGTCTCTCAGTCTGTGTCCTCTAGATCAAAGATCACTAAGCTTTATTTTATTTTTTTTTCCTCTGAGACAGGGTCTCACTGTGTAGCTTTGGCTGGCTGGCATCCTGGAGCTCACTTTGTAAACTACATTGGCCTTGAATTCAGAGATGGATCTGTTTCTGCCTTCTTAATGCTGGGATTAAAGACATGTGCCACCACACCCAAAGATCACTAAATATTTTGTAGATGTAACTGTCTTCAAAGTACCAAAAATAACTATAGTTTTTGAAAGTAAAATACAGGAGTGAGTTGAGTTCCAGCCAGCCAGGGTTACCCAGTTAAACCCCATCATTAAAAAAAAAAGGGGGGTGGGGGGGTAGAGACTGGAGAGATGGCTCAGAGGTTAAAAGCACTTGATTGCTCTTCCAGAGGTCCTGAATTCAGGTCACTACATGGTAGCTCACAACCACCTGTAATGAGATCTGGTGCCATCTTCTGGCCTTCAGGGACATATGGTACTGTGGGGGGAAAAAAAGGAAGCTGGACATGGTGGTGCACACCTTTAATCCCAGTACTTGGGAGGGCGATCTCTGTGAGTTCAAGGTCAGCCTGGTCTACAAAGTAAGTTCTAGAACAGCAGAGTTATTACATGGAGAAACCCTGTCTCAGAAAAGAAAAGAAAAAGAAAGAAAAAAAAAAAAAAGAAAAGAAAAGCTATACAGGAAGAATTTAATGGTGGCAAATCACATGGCTGGGGTTCAAGAAAATGGGACCTTCCTTTGCACAGCAGTGGCAGTTGCATACACAAAAAACTATGCAACTCACATTACTCCCTCCTCTGCACACTCCTCATAAAAACCCCTCTAACTTTTTTCTGTTGTGGTTATACAGATTCATTCTCTCTAAGTCCCATGCATTCTATGCATGTGTACTACCAATGAACTACATCCTCAATCAACTTGTATTAGTACCCAAACATTAGTCTTGGGAGCAGGTGTCAGTGGTACCAGTCATAGTCACTGTAACAATGGCCCACCCTTTTCATTCATGAGGATTATAGTCCTCAAGGCTGGATTCTACTTTTACTCTGGGACTATCAGTTCAATATTCCTTCATCCTTGGCAACGTCTCCCTGACCCTCATCTCCCCAGAAACTGCTCCTCCCATCGTGCCCCTCACTCAACACTATCTTCCTTCACAACCTGAACACTAGTAATTGCTACCAGGTACCAGTGACATTTTCTCATGGAGAAGAGACTTAGGCAGGCTTCCTCTAATGTCCCCTAAAAAGTACTTTGGGGAAACAAGTTTATCCTTAGCCTGTCTTATCCTTTCTCCTCAAGCAAGGCAGGTAAGGGGATACAGAAGCTACCAAGAAACAAACACCTGCTATGAGAGTGTTACATAAATAGAAATAGCTCAAGAAAAGCTGGAGAAAGACATGAGAGTTTAGTCAACTGTCTAATTCATCCTAATCCTGTTTTTCTTTCTTTTGGGGGTTACAAAGTTTGAACCCAGGGTCTTTTTAGTGCCAGGCAATTTTACCACTAAGCTAAAATCCTCAGTTCTTTATTTAAAAAAAGGGTCCTATTAAGTTACCCAGGTAGCCTGCCACCATCTCTCCAGTAACTGAGATTGCAGGCATGTACTGCCACATCCAGTCAAGTAATCCCATTTCTAAGCAAGAGCATCAGCAAGACTCTCATCTTCTAATCAAGCAGATGAGTCTACTATAACTTGGTCAGTAACACACTCTTTGCTAAAACAGGTCTCCTGCCCACCTTGGAGGGTTTTAGAGACAGGATTTCTCTGTGTAACAGCCCTGGATGTCCTGGAACTCTCTGTGTAGCCCAGAATGGCCTCAAACTTAGAGATCCATATGCCTCTGCCTCCCTAGTGAAAACAAGCTCCTCTTAAACTGGATGTGGTAGTACATGTCTTAATCCCAGCACTTGGGAAGCAGAGGAAGGTAGATCTGTCAGTTCTAGGCAAGCCTGGTCTACTTAGGGTTCTAGACAGCCTAGGCAACATGAGACCTTGTCTCAAAATAAATAAAAGGCTTCTCCTTAATCTGCATTAAAAAAACAAAAACAAAAACGAAAAACATCCCTGCATCAGGGTCTTACTATGTAGTCTAGGCTGGTCTCTAATTCACAGCATTTTCTCCTGCCCAAGCCTCTCAAGTACCACAATTGAAGAAATGCATCACCATGGCTAGTCCATGCTTTAAAAATTTACTATTACTGTATGCAGGATGTGTGTGTATGCCATGGCATACATACTGAGGTCAGAGGACAAGAGACAACCTTGTGTAATCAGTTCTCTTTCCACCTTTACATAGGTTCCTCAAATTAAATTCAGGTCACCAAGTTTATGTGCCAGTTGCACTATCCACTGAGCCATGTTATTGGCCCCATCACAGCCTATTCTTATAGGAAGCCACAACACATTTCCCCAGTACAAGCAGTTACCACCATCAGAGTAAGAATCAGCACTACACACCTATGGCTACCCTAAGCTACCTTTCCCTGTGAGCCCTGAGGGTCACAGGGACAGAATTCCAACAGTGACTCTATCATCTTTTGAGATTCTGAGCAGTCTGGATGTTCTTGGAAGGGTTAAAGTACTAGACTAGAAAGGAAGGAGTTGTAACATATGCTCCAGAACAGATTGCTCCAACTTGACTATGACTATACCGTAACTAGGAACCATCTCCACAGAGGCTCTTAAACAAGTCAGTCTTTTTTCTGGCTTCAGCTCTTCAAATGACAAAGGATTTTTTTTTTTTTTTTAAAGATTTTATTTATTTATTATATATACAGTCTTCTGCCTGCATGCCAGCAGAGGGCACCAGATCTCATTCAAGGTGGTTGTGAGCCACCATGTGGTTGCTGGGAATTGAACTCAGGACCTCTGGAAGAAAAGTCAGTGCTCTTAACTGCTGAGCCATCTCTCCAGCCCCCGACAAAGGATTCTTAAGTTGTGACATTTTATGAGATGTGGATGTAACCTGTGTAAGAGGGAGATTTTTCATGTTCTGTGTAGGGCTTCTAGAATTAGCAACAATAGACCGTATTACCTGCATAGTCTGGCCTTGAAGATGTAGGCGATCTTTGCAGGCCACCTCATAAAAGTCATAATATTCCAGGAAGGACTTCTCCATCACTCCCCTGGGAATTGAACAGACAAGTCAGAAAGATGAGGCACAGGTCCCCCACTCACTTCCTAATCTTAGAATTTTTTTGTAACTTTCTTTTTTTTTTCTTCCGAGACAGGGTTTCTCTGTGGCTTTGGAACCTGTCCTGGAACTAGCTCTTGTAGACCAGGCTGGTCTCGAACTCAGAGATCTGCCTGCCTCTGCCTCTGCCTCTCGAGTGCTGGGATTAAAGACGTGGGCCACCACTGCCCGGCTCATACTTCATATTCTTTTTTTCTTTTTCTTTTCATACTTCATATTCTTAAAGAACTAGAAAACTGCTGTGTGATATTGGCACATACCTTTAATCCCAGCACTTGGGAGGCAGAGGCAGGCAGATTTCTGTGAGTTCAAGGCCAGCCTGGTTTACAAAGCTACACAAAGAAACTGCTACACAGAGAAACCCTGTCTCAAAAAATCCAAACAAAACAAAACCAAACAAACAAAACTAAAATAAATAAATAAACAAACAAAAAACAACACAACCAATCCTCTTAACAACTTGTTGGATAACTGCAGTCATTTGTTTTTTAAAAGCATGAAGCAGACTGGCACAATGGTGTAAATCTGTAACGGTAGAACTAAGGAGGCAGAGGCAAGAGGGTCAGTGGTTACAGGCTAGCCTTAGCGGATCCTCTGAGCACATACCGCAGGGGTTCAGGGCAGGGGCACTTTCCCTCCATCATGTCACACACTGCAACTCTGATGGTCTCGTGCCGGATACATTCATTATAGTTTTTGCTGTCTCCTGGATGTCTTTCCTGTAATTTGAAAGATGCCAGAGCCATTTAGCCAAAGAGAAAAATCAGTACAAAGATCCTCAGGGTTAGTACAGAATATATGACCCAAATACACACATACAGTCCAAAAACACCTTACCCACCACAGGTCCAAAACAAACAACTAAGTCTTGGACCCTTGACCTCCCTATATATAAAAACACCTATTCTATTATAGGTCAAATGACTATCAGTTAAACTAGATCCATCAGATTTATCCTGAGTCTCAATAAAAGGCTTATTACATTAGGATTAAGTGGGGAACAATTCTGGAGCTTCCTGGTTAATTCCTTTCCGTATCTGTAGGGTTCTACCAACACTAACTACTATAAATTTATCAAAGGAAGAAACTTTAACTTTTTAAACAAAAAAGTCAAAAGTTGGGAGCTAGACATATGTAAATAAGTTATAAAGCACTTGGCCCTAGGGTTCTATCCCAAACATACATGTGCATAATGCACTCATGTGTACACACACACAGGTTAACCCTGGACTACATGAGACCATCTGAAAAACAAACAAAACAAAAGCCTCTATTACCTCACTTGAAAACTGGAACAATATTTACCTCATAGCATAAACATTGAACAATATACATATATAGCAATATCACAGCCTGGCATACAGCATTAACCTTGGCAAATGTGTATTTCCTCTGACCTTTCTTTGGCAATTAGAACTAGAATATTCTTGCCGTTACTAATGGCTAGCTCCTTTAACTACACAAATAATATAGCACACTATAATAGCTAGAAAAAGCTAGAGAAAGACAGAGACCTGTGATTCTCACTACTGGGAAATACTGAAGCAAGGAGATCAAAACTTCAGAGTCTGAGGGCTGGAGAGATGACTCAATGGTTAAGAGGACCAGAGTTTGGATCCCGGCAATTATATATCTATAATCTCTTGCGACTTCAGCTCCAGGTGATCCAACACCCTCTTCTGGCTTCCATGCCATGTGCATATGTGCATGTACACACCACACAACACACACTCAAGGACAAGTAACAAAAACAAATCTTACGAAAAAAAAAAAAGTTCAAAGTCTGCTTAGAATATAGGCAATTCAATACCAGACTATTCAACTGCTGAAACCCTGTCTCAAAATAAAAAAATGCTGGGTGTGATGCCATATATCTTTGATTCCCAAACTCAGGAGACAGAGGCAGGTGGTCTCTGAGTTCAAGGTCTACAGAGTGAGTTCCAGGACAGCCAGATATATAAAAAGAAACCCTGTCTCAAAAAAAAAAAAAAAAAAAAAAAAAAAAAAAAAAAAAAAAAAATCAACAACAACAAAAAATTCAAAGAAGGGTTAGCTCATGGTGGAGTTTCCTAAATTCAATCCTTGGTACCATGGGTAGTGGTGGTGCTGGACAACAGCTACCTTAGCAGGGCAGTAGTCCCTATGAAGCACTTAAGGCTATGCTGTAGAATGCAGATACACTCAAAAAACCCCACTGGCATGGAGCTGTAGAGACAGCTCAACAGTTAAGGGTACCTGCCACTCTCCTAAAAAACTAGCGTTTGATTCCCAGAACAGATATAGTGGCTGATGTCTGTAACTCCAGTCCCAGGGGACCTGATGCCCTCTTCTGGCTCTATGGATATCAGGCACTTATGTGGTGCACAGAAAAAAACACCCATATACATAAAATTTTAAAAAAATTAAAAATTCCTAAAGCATGCTCAAAATTGATTTACAAGTGACAACATTTACTACCACTCACTAGGTTAACTCAAGCGGAAAACTTAATGGTGTCATTGTAATCAACTGTTCGTTCTTTCTTTTTTTTCTTCCTTTCTGCCCCCCCCCTTCTCTTCATAGCCCTGGTTGGCCTCAAATTCAGAGATTCATCTGCCTCTGCCTCCCGAGTGCTGGGACTAAAGGTGTGCACCACCACCACCTAGCTCACTATGCAGTCTTACCTGGCCTAGAAATCATTACATAGACCTTGCTAACCTTTACCTCACAGAGATTTACCTGCTTCTCTGCCTCCCTAGTACTGGAATCAAAGGTATGCTTCACCATGTTCAGCTGTTATTATAATTCTTGCAAATAAAAGAGCAATCATGTCAGTTCCCTTTCTACGACCCCTGATATTGCAGGCCTCAGCACATAGCCCAACAGTCCTTACCTGTTCAAAGCCTGGCTCGTTGTGGTAGGGATTCTCAGTCATCAGGGACTGGATGGAGATAAGCACAGAAGAGATGCTCTGGGCTGGGCTCCAGGCAGGGCCAGTCCATGTACTGCAAACACAGTGGAGGGACAGGAAGAGGGTGATGCAGACATCAAGGGAAGACTGACAGCAGCAGCATCACCATCATTAGTGACTCACCGCAAGTTTCTCTTTCACTATTAATACTTGAGAAATTCCCAGCCTCTGCCTCACTCTCATTTACCAGAACAGTCAAATGTCTACATCTTTATATCAACTGAGAACAGAAGAAAACAGAGAGCAAGCAAGACAACTCTGAAAAGACTTTCTCTGAGCTATTAAAGAAACAGTAGCCAAGGAAGATTAACCTACCAAAACAAGGATCCAAGTTAAGGAAAATAACTTTAAAAGCTGTCTGAATGTTAACCTCTGTGACTTCAAAAGGCTTATTTATTGGTGGTGTCAGAGTTAGGGAAAGCAGAGGCACAAAGGTGACTTAAGCTGTTGTCTATGAGGCTACATGTTGAAGTTCATGGTTGGGGACTCAGCTCTGTAACAAGCCAAGCAGTGTAAACTCTTTTGAAGATATACAACTCTGCCAAGATAGAAAGGAAGATGGTGCATTCCTAGAATAAGGGCAATCTGACAATATCTGAAAACATCAGAGGGAAAACAAGCTGAACACCAGGGAAAATAACCCACACACTTTTTTGTTTGTTTGTTTTTTAGACTGGGTCTTAGAATAGCCCTGGCTACTATTCTGAATGCCAGAGATTACAGGCATGAACTACACCACTCCTGACTAAACCATTGCAGGCAATAAAGAGAGTGGGCTACTTGGCCATCAGTGCCTTTTTTCTTCTTTTTTTTGAGGAAGAGTCTCTCTAATGTACTAACCGTCCTACAACTTGGTACCCAGAGTTGTAGGTACCCAAGGTACACTAGCCTTGACCTTACAGAGATCTGCTCCATCATGCTTGGCAGACATTGATTTTAGCTCAATTAATTAACAAGATTCCATGAGAGATAAAAGCAGAACACAACCTGAGCCAAGACTAGCTTATTTAACTGACCACTGCCCTTTCCCTTCTACACTTGATGATGGCCAAGTCAGGGGTGTGGCATAGTAACTTCAGAGGCTGCTCTCACACAGCAGGTCCCTAGAAACTCTGCCTTCTACCCCCTACTTTTCATTTGTGGGAATTCAAGTCAACAGGGTCAGCTCATTCCATTTCTTTTGGCAGTTAGTCAGCCCAAGGGTTGGTTCTTTCTACTAATGAAGAAAAGGAATTAGGCCAACAAAGGTAATGTAGCTAACTAAAAATATATAATAATTTTTCTACTCCATGATTCTTAACTGTAAAGTTTCTATTTCAGGATGGATCTTTCTTTTTCATGCAACACACTTCTGCCACTTTCACTCAACCACCATTCTTTGCCTGTTCCTTGTATGAGCTGTTAAGTGTCCAAAATGGCTTCACATTAGCTTATTGAGGGAGAACCTACTTTCTACACATACACTTTGCAGAACAAATTTCATACCAAACCCAAGACTCAATTGTCACATCACCAAGGGACACACACATAAACCCAATCCCACCAGCAGACACACTTCATAGCCTGATAAGGTGAAGGACTTATTATGGGCAATCTCCTTCAACTAGACTTCCCGGTTAACACCTAACAAGAGTGTATCATATCCTTAGATGTGAGAGCTCTAGGAAAATATGCACCATATTTCTAGTATGTTTCAGCTGCCTTTCTTTCTTTTTTGGTTTTTCGAGACAGGGTTTCTCTGTGTAGCATTGGAGTCAGCTGCCTTTCTTACACAAACACCTAGAAATGTGCTGAATGGAAGAAAGAAACAGGATTACCAGTTTGGAGAACTTTCTCAACATTCGATCCATACATATTCTCTACCTCAAGGAACTCTGGACCACAAAAGAACAATCTAAAAACATGCTACAAGGCGTTCTTCATTCTGAATTTTTCACTCACAAAGGCAACTGATACAGAATGAGCAAGAACTCCATAAAGTAACATCCCAGTAGCACACAGTGAGTATACTTGACACCTGTTTCATATCTGATATGATTTCCAAGCTCAGACCTTTTTATTCAGTTGTTAAATTGTCATAATCATCATTACCACCACGGCCTCCAAAGACACCCATTAAGAGACTCCTACCAGACACCCACTGCACAACTACAACAGTCCTGGAACCTTATGGGAAAAAGTAAGGCCCTAATGTCTGAAGGGGTTAGTTCTCACTGGAGTGTACAGCATAATCAATCACCTGCACACCCCCTAAAAGCAGACCACTGATACACCCCAGAATTTCTGGCACACTTCTAGAATGGGGCCTCCAAATCTGCTGCTGTGGCAGCTCAAGGACCATTTAAGTAAATCACTTATAAGACATTCCTTACATGTAATAATTTGATTTTACTTCTTTCCATCTAGAATAACACCAGTCAGGAACCATCCCGAGAACTGAATAGTCAGTCACTTTTATGCTGTGGGTTCAGATAAGGAACCCTACTTAACGATGGCTGCCCTAAAGTGATTATTTGTTAATAACCAACTTGGCCACTTAGAAGTCTCCTCTTACCCTAGAATACTCAAGCAGACTTTCCCATTGCGGTAGAAGTTGGGGTTAAACCTCACTGTGTTATTGCCCGTTGTCATCAGTTTGACCCGAGGTGGGTGGATGGGATAGTCGGGTGGACACCGAAAGACGAACAGGAAGAAACCCCCTTCATAAGGAGTGTCAAATGGGCCTGTGATCAATGCATGAATCTGCAAAATAAAACCTCATCTCAAAATTGTGAGGTGACACCCCACCACAACCCCTCCTGGCTTCCATCTACTACCCCCACCAGAAGCAGTGACCATCAGCATGCATTGTCTGGTGTTCATATTCCACTTTCTCATCATACAGAATGAACTGCCTGGGCTCGCTCACGTAAGCAGCTCTTCAATTTAAGGAAATTCCACTATAGTGGAGCAGCATCATACTCCACACTGGGAGCTTATATTCAAAAGTTAAAGCCCAAGGTGAAAAGTGACCCTAGAAAATTTTACCTTAAAAGCTTTTTTCCCCCATCAGACTGCCCTGATTGGTATATGACAAATGGAACCTAAATATGTAGAACAGCAATTTCTTATGTTTAAGAAACTAATACATACTTTCTTACTGAAATATTTGGATTTGCCAAGGTTAACCATGCTTATGATGCAACTCCACTCTATGTTTGTATGATAGGAAGGGGAAGAGAGGGACTAGAGGTTACAGCACCAGTGCCAATAACAGTACAGAAGTGATGACTACAATGGATGCATAGGGTGTCTGCTTGCTTCCTCCAGAGGATCAAAACTACCGTGTCAAAGATACCAAGAAAAATGGGAAATTCCAGTCCACTTACAGCCAACAGACCATCCCCCCAAAACTCAACATTGTTGTTAAAAAAAAAAAAAAATCAGTATTCCTTAAAACATAAAGTTCTCTTCCTCTGTAAACTATAATGACTCGATCATATAACCACCCCCCCCCACCTCCATGCCCCATTTTTTGAGACAGGGTTTCTCTGTGGGATGGTCCTGACTGTCCTGGAACTTGATTTGTAGACCAGGCTGGCCTCAAACTGAGATTCACCTGCCCCTGCCTCCCTCCCAAGTGCTGAAATTAAAGGCATGTGCCACCACCGCCCACCTAATTCTACCTCTTTTTCTTTCTTTTTTTTTTGGGGGGGGGGTTCAAGACAGGGTTTCTCTGTGGCTTTGGAGGCTGTCTTGGAACTAGCTCTTGTAGACCAGGCTGGTCTCGAACTCAGAGATCCGCTTGCCTCTGCCTCCCCAGTGTTGGGATTAAAGGCATGCACCACCACCGCCTGGCCACTCTACCTCTTTTTCAAAGGGTCCTAAGACTTAAGTGTGCTCAGAATTTAAACAGTAAAAGGACCTTGCATTCCCATGCTTCAATCTATAATCCTACCTTGCCCTGGTAACACAGCAGGTTATATTCTAATCTGCAAACTCTGGAAACAGTACAATTCTAAGGCCTCAGATTAGCATATTACTATAGCATTTGACTGGAAACATTTCCAACCACGTTTAAAATTTTTTTTTTTTTAAAGAAAACCTAGGGGGCTGGAGAGATGGCTCAGAGATTAAGAGCACTGACTGCTCTTCCAGAGGTCTTGAGTTCAATTCCCAGCAACCACATGGTGGCTCACAACCCACAACCATCTATAATGAGATCTGGTACCTTCCCCAGGCCTGCAGGCATACATACAGGCAGAACGCTGTATACATAATAAATGGAAAAAAAAAAGAAAGAAAGAAAAAAGAAAACCTAAAGTGAGTTGGAGGCCAGCCAGGGCTGTTACAACACAGTGAAACCCTGACTCTAAAAACAAAAATTTCATATATATATATATATATATATATATATATATATATATATGTCACACACATATATGTCAGCAATACAGAAGCTGAGTTTTTACTTTAGGAAATCAGAACTCATTATTTTTTGCTTGAAACACTAGATTTTGGAAATCTGATTTCTTCCCAACATCAGCTTATGTCCAAATTCACTCCTGAGAACATTCAATGATATGCTAGAGGAATATGATCATTATGTAGGAAGCTTTCTGTGCAGAGGATGAGAGAACAGGTTTCTGGGGGAGGGAGGTACTCCAAACCAATAAGAATAGGAGCCTTCACCACAAACACTCCAACCAAGATGGCCTTCCCTCACCTGACTTGCAGGAAGTACCACAGTAAAATTCAAGATGCTAAGATGGAAGATCTGGGGGTACAATGAATAGGGTGACCATAATTTATCACTAGGGTGGAGATCTGAGAGGGAAAGAGTGGCCTGTTAATAGCTAAGCTGGAACAAAAGGTACATCTTGTCAATCTGAGGATTTTCCAAGCCAAACAACACCTGTGTGTACCCTAACAACAGACCTACTTACGATTCTGCTCTACTTCTCACTGTGTAACTTTGGGCAAAGCACTTACTTTCTTGGAGTTTTGATTTCTTCCTCTATATGAGGAAAGCTAAATAATGTTTTAGGCTCTTTCAACTCTATGAGTCTAATTTGCCAAATAATCCCCCTGCCCCTCCAATAAAGTTACATACCTTAGTCATGTCAACAGTGTCAGGTACAACAAACATTCCTGGAGGAGGCTCCTTATAAATGGACATGATATCCCTGTGTAACAGCAAAAGGAGGTAGAAGGAGTGAGGAAGGAAAAGGGAAAAACCCTTGAGCAGGACAGCTGTTACCACCTCAATGAACCCAGGGGTTCGAGAAAGTGGTGCTTGGTACCACAAATGTTTGCACTGTCTTGTTGGCTGAGAAATCTCATCTGAATACTTGTCAGGCAGGCAGAGAACAAATTATTATCAAAGGGACATTGTTTCCTGGGGGGGGGGTGTTGCTGAGAAGAAAAATAAGCCAACATCCTCCCAATGGTATCAGATGTCACCCAGGAAAAGCCATGTCCCATTGACTTCTTTCCACATGGAAACTCATTAACTTCCTACCTATCTCCCAGATTTCCAGGTACTACAACAGAATATTGGTTTTTTAAAAAGTAATTGGGAAGGCATCATTAAGTCTACTACAAAACTTGTTCCATAAGCCACAGGGTGGACCTTTGCCGGTAAGGAGACTGCCTGAAGCCAGCAGGACCAAGCCTACCATGGCCTGTGTGTACAGGAAACTAATAGGATAGAGTTCTTCATGTTGGGCAGAAGGGAACCCTCTGAAATTATCAGAATTTCTTATCTGGAAGATGACATTTGGTAACGATAGATGAAATTTCTACATCATTATCTAATCAACTAGAATGGATCAGTTGAGAACTGGCTCAAAAAAAAGTCAATTATGAGGAAGTCCAGGGACATGGTAGGATTGTGGAGCAAAGATATGTTCCAGCCAAACTCAAAGGTGTATCAAGACTGGGAGAAACCGGGCGGTGGTGGTGTACGCCTTTAATCCCACCACTAGGGAGGCAGAGGCAGGCCGATCTCTGTGAGTTCCAGACCTGCCTGCTCTACATACAAGAGCTAGTTCCAGGGCAGCCTCCAAAGCCACAGAGAAACCTGTCTCGAAAAACCAAAATAAAAAAAAAAAAAAAAGGACTGGGAGAATCAAATGGTCTTAAGAGCTGACTCTGAGTTAAAGTTAGAGGTGGTAGTCTCTGTGAAGTTGCTGTTCTGTGCCAGGCACAGAAAAAATATGCAGGTGGCAAACACCTGAAGGGACTTGCAATGTTCAGGATAATATCTATAAGAGGCATGAAGAGAGTCAGTCTGGTCAATCATGGAAACAGGTTCCAGAATTAATAGCTCAACAGTGTTACACTTTCCTATGCACTAGGTACTATACTAAGTAAGCACTTTTGCAAAAACACATTTATCTATGAAGTGATATGATCTAAGATCAGTCACCCAAGAAACAAGCACAGAAAGGCCCTAGGCCTTTGTTCCTATATTTGAAGAGTACATCTACTTCACCAAAGTAAACCAGACAATCGGGGGGGGGGGGTACAGGAAAAAAGTTCTTGAATAGGATATCACAATCCAGAGTGATGCTAGCAGGGGAGGAACGCTAAGCTTCTGGAACAGGATTGAGAGTGGGACAGCTTTGGGAGGACCAAAAAAAAAAGGGGGGGGGGCTCAAGAGGAGATCTGGAAAGTCCGAGAGGCTAACTAGATCTGGGAAAGGGACCATATGGTGGGAATCTGAGGAAAGGTAAGGTAAAAAGGAAGGCTGGATTGAGTCTGCAACTGGGCAATGAAGGCAGAGTGTGTTCCAAGCCGGGCTCCAGAGGAGACGAGGGGGGACCTATGGGTGGGGCCTGAGGGCAGCCTCTAGGTAGGCTGGTGGGGTATAAGAGGGGAGGCGCGAAGGGCGGGACCCAGTGTTGCTGAAGAGCAAAAGGGTCGGGTTTCGGGCGAACGGGAGGGGTAGGGATGGGGCGTCCGGAACCTAGCCGCAGGGCTCACCGGAGGTCGCCAAGGGGCGGGGTAGGCCCGAGGGCACTCGTAGATCGGTTTGGGCTTGCTGAGCTGAGTGCTGAGGAGAGAGAGGGAGGAGGAGGAGAGACAGATACTAAAGCCCCGTTAGTGGAGGCCGGCAGGGTTTGGGCCTGGAAGACGTGAGGCGGGAGGGAGCCCCCACAGGGGGG